GTGGGTGTGTGTGTGTGTGTGTGTGTGTGTGTGTGTGTGCGCGCGCGCAAGATAATGAACAGTTTGATATCCTTCTAGGCAGCCATAATTTAGCTGGTTGAACTGGGGCTCTCAGGAGCCGTGGTGTGGTCTTGAAGGTGGGCAGGGCCCAGGATACTCAATGATGAAGTAACCAGTATGTTACAGTCTTGTTATAAATTACCAAGCAGCCTGTACAGAATCTGGACCACCGCTGTCATTTTCTTCTCTTATAATAGCCCAGTAATAGCATATCCAAAAATCAATGGAGGGTGGTATTTAGAGACCTTTGGTTCATGCTGTATGTGAGGTGCTTGTGAGCACTCTCATTTTCTTTTTCTGTCATGTATTTAACGTAACTGTTTTACATAATATACTTAAATACCTACATTTATGTTTTGCTTCTCTGTGAAGTTATGTTATTTAATTATTTCTGTGGCTAATGGAATATAATTTTGTTAAGGAGATGACAGTTCTGAAAGTAACTCTGAAAATAGCTCTGAAAGTGAGTCAGGTGAGTATTATGTTGCAGCATATCTATATTCTCTGACTCCTTTAAACTTGTAGATTTAGATTCAGTTAAAATCCTTAAAATAACACCAGCTTATGTGACTAATTTAAAACCAGTTACATAACATTATGAATATAGTGGTTAGATACTAAAAAGCTGAATAATATTTATATGAACAGAATATTAATGTGGTCATTCATGAATGAAGATCTAAGCAGAGGAATGATAGAAAAACAGCTAATATTTTATTCTAGATGCAGCAGTTTGAAAATTTCTTTTTTTGGATCAAAACAGTAATCCAAGCACCAGGAGGTTATTCATATATTTGAAAATTGGTAGCAAAAGTGACAAAACACAGCAAAGAATTAAAGGATGTGTGTGCTGTTGCAAAAAGCATGCCTTTTTTTTCAAATGTGTGTGTCATATCAAATTAGTCTATTGATAGCTCATACAAGTTGTTAGTATAGTTTGTATTTAAATAATTGGAAGGTTGTTTTTTTTTCTGCAGATAATGAACAGTCTGATACAAGACAATCAGGTGAGTGTACTTTCCTATTCCCATAAAAAGACAAGTTCCATGTCAGTAATTTACAGAAGGCAGTGGGATGCAATAGCAAGCAAATGATAGAGTGCTGATAAAATGTGTAACATCACCTAGTTTTAAAGCATTTCTTCCTATAAAAATATATAGAAAATGGGTAGGGGGTGGGAAAGAGAGAGACAGAGACAGAGAGAGAGACTGTGTGTATTTACAGGTGAATAAAAAAAATAAAAAAATAAATTGTTAATACAAAGTTAAGGTTACCGTTCAACCAGAAGTTGGGAAATGTTCAGACTAGGAAGTCTGTGCTTTAACTATGCTCCCTTGCACATAGATTTCCGAATAGCTATGGGAAAAGTAACATTGTAACATTAGTGATGAGAGTTTCCTCAGGAATGGATGAAAGTCTTTACTTAGGTATCCAGGCTGTAGCTGTATTAGTATAGAGGAAAAGGCAATCAGGGCTTGTGGTAGAGGTGATATCTTTTATTAGACCAACAAGATTTTTGCAAAAAAAATTATTTAAGTGCAAGCTTTTGGGCTCAAACAAAAAAAATCCTTCTTGAGGATAAATTATCTCACCTTTTAAAACACAACATCATGCAATGTTTAATATGCAGGGAAAACCATTCATCAGGCATCAGAGAAAAGATTGAAAAGTTTTCCTGGGTAGAAATGAAAGTTCATATTTTTTTAGAATTTCACAGAGGAGTTAATAGATGGAAAACTTCTCTGGGCAGGTAGTTCTTAGCTGGTAAGGAGTCTCTCAGCTCTCGTGAGGCTCTGTGATGATGCAGATTACCTTAGACAGAGGCAGGAGCAGTATCTCAGGTTTCAGGTGGTCAGAGTTGCTTCCTCCTTGGGAAATTATGAAGATTTCATTAAAAAAATAGGCTAAAATGCAATATCTTCCATGTGTCAGGTATCCAGGTTGTAGCTGTATTGGTTTAGAGGAAAAGGCAATCAGGGCTCATGGTGGAGGTGATTATCTTTTATTAGACCAACAAAATTTTTGCAAAAATAATAATAAAACCCAGTATACTGTTGGATTTCTTTTGCAACAGGAGTGTGTTGTTGGTTTCTATTCAGCTTATGTTCCACTATAGTTCTCAGGTCCTTCTCTGTAGTACTGCAGCCTAGCCAGTCATTTGCCAGTCTGATTTGTGCATGCAGTTATTCTACACCAAGTGTAGGACTTTGCATTTGTCCTTGTTGAATCTCACCTGATTGATTACAGACCATTTTTCCAGTCTGTCCATTCTGGATCCTAGCCCTGCCCTCCAGAGTGTCTGCAACTCTAACCAACTTGGTGTTGTCCAGAAGTTTTCTAAGCTTGCACTCAGTGCCATTGTCCAAATCATTAGTGCTGATGCTAAACAATACTGGATCTAGGACAGACCTCTGGGGAGCCTGACTTGATACCTCCTCCCAACTAGGCATTGAGCTATTGATGACCACTTGTTGAGCACAACGATCCAACCAGTTATGTATCCACCTTTCAGTACTTGCATCTAGTCTACATTTCCTTATCTTGGGAGAGGCAAGGATTTCTTACAGTGATATCTTTTATTGGACAAACTATGGTTGCATAATTTTTGGACCATTCTGGCTACAACATCACACTTACAGTACAGTGTCATGACAGACTGTGAAAAACTTTGCTAATGTCCGGGTATATCGCATCTGCTGCTCTCCCCCCATCCACAGAGCCTGACAACTTATCATAGAATTACTTTGAAATACCAGTGGATAAAGCAGTTGAAAAGAATCAAAATTCATGAAGGGAGGCTGGAATGTCTAGGGTTGACTGGAGAGCTACTGAAAAGGTCAACCATGAAAACTTAGTTTCATGCACAAACTTCGAAAACAGCCCTTTTAGGTTGAAAGTAGTTCATTATACATGTTGTATGAAAGATATGTTTTATAAAAGCAATTTTTTTTTGGTAGATGAAGTCCTGGAAAAGGGAGAATTACTGCCATCTGGTATTGAATCAGGTATGAATAGCTATCTTTGAAATTGCTTATCTGATTATTTTAATTATCCTTCATTTCAAAGAAATGATTTTTTCCTCTCTCTTCATAGAAGTTAATAGCCAATCTTGCTGTGAACATTGCAAAACTGAACATGTATGTATTTAAAAATCACATTAATTTTTTCTGTTAGATATTTTGTAAATTCTAATACCATTATTTTAAAATTGTGATTATTTACTTTCTTGTACTTAATATATTTTTACAGATTCAGAAGGAACAAGTGACTCCCAGAAGATTTTCTGGAGAACAATTTTGGTAAATATTGTTTAATGTGATAAATATATGTTTATATGATTTAGGTCAAACTTCTTTTTTTAACTGAATTCTGTAAAAGATTAAGAGCCTTATATGTCCTGCTCAGTAATATGCTTGTAATAACGATAGAAGAGGTACCAAGATTCATTTAAAAATAAGCAGTATATAGCTACCATTATTAATGGTATATGACCTTCATGCACAATGCACCTAAGCACATCCTTGGCTTTAAACTTGGAAAATAATTAAAGTTAAGTAAGTGCTTAAGTGCTTTGTTAGATGGGGCCTCTATAAAGTGTCTGTTGTGCTTTGTGAGAGCAGATGTCATTCCTTTTGATCATCTGCACTTGACTAGAAGTTAATTTTGTTTCCAACTAAATGTCAGCCTTACCGCATTTATTATGTTTATCATCTCGGGATTGTGTTGCTGTAATGCACTTTATGGCAGAATTAGATCTTGGTATCACTTGCACATTTCATTCTAAGGTCTAATTCAGCTCCAATCTGAAGTCAGTAGACGTTAGATCAAGCCCCTACTGCAGAAAGCAGCTCTCTGCTTTACTTTAGTGGAGGTTTATGTGTATTGCATATTATGTTTGCGTTCCATAGTCTGCATTGGTTTGGCTACTCTCCAGGTGCCTCTGAGTTTTGGTCTAAAGTACTAAGTGCTAGACAAAAAGTTATTTGTATGATATTTTCTATGCTTGTTTGTTTGTTAATAGAGATTGTCATTGGGGGAGAAACATCTCAAAAGCAAAAATCCTGCTTGAGGATAAATTATCTCACCTTTTAAAACACAACATCATGCAATGTTTAATATGCAGGGAAAACTAAACTACTTTTGCCACATTTGTGCAATGCAGGTTGAAGCTAGAAGCAGAGGGAAGTTACCAGTGTGCATTTACAAGCTTGATTTTTGAAGTCAGCAAGCCTGCTGAAATCAAGTATACCATATTGTCCTGGAGCAAATATGCTGATTATATTAAAAAACCATGGATTGTTGGTGGGCCCCTCTTTAATGTCACTTGTGACTCAGCCTCTGCTCTTACTTCGATTCAGTTCCCACATTCCCTCTGCCTACATGGTAAGTACTATACGTTGGATTTAATGAGTGTACGTGTCTACTGCTGTTCTTTAGGGCTCAGGGCAGCAGTTATACATAAACCGGTTTAAGTGATCAGAAATTTTTTTAAACCTGTAACAGAACATAAGTTCAGTGCACATAAACCAGTTTCAAAATGGCTGAAACTGGTTTAAGATAAACTTGGTTGAATGTACTATTAGACTTAACTGATTTGGGTTAAACCAGTTTATGCAACTTCTGTCCCAGGCCCCTTCCTGGTTTAAGTTAAACCAGAGCCCTCCAGCATCCCAGATGCTTTGCAGCCCTGGGTGGGGCTGTCCTCTCTGCTTCCAAGAGCAGGGCTGGCCCCTCCCCTCTGCTCTCTAGCCTGAGCAGAGATGGGGGCATTGCCAGACACATGGCCCCCTGATGCAAATGGAGCAGGGAGGGGGTTTATTCCCCACTCCCCCTACTACTGGGGGACTCCTGCCCCTGTCAGCCATTTACCTACTTCCCACTCCAGTGGCAGGGGAGGGAGCATGGCTAGAGCCCCCCTCCCTCCCTGCCCTGAGTGGTGCTGTGTGGTCCTGTGTGGTGCAGCAGGAGCTGTAGCTACAGGTGAGGTGAGAAAAACAGCCTTGTCAGGCCCAACTTCTTCTGCCCCGGGTGTGGAGCTCTGTCTGAAGGCCCTGGACACCTTCGACGCAGATGCCTTGGAAGGTGGAAGCCATCCAGGGGCTACAGGTGGAGCTCCATGTGCAGGGCAGAAGCCATGGGACTGAAGCTTCCTGCCCTCCCCACCCAGAGTGGTGTGGCTGTGGCAGCAGCAGCAGCAGCAGCAGCAGCAGCTGGAGGCGAGGGGGGCAGCCTGTGGCTGGCTGTGTGCCTGCAGCCCTGTGGACTGCACAGCACAGGGGGCACAGTGGCAGCTGCTGGACTTGGGGCTTGCTAGCACCTCTGAGCTAGCCCAGGAAGCCCACTCCCCAGCCAGCCCCTACCTGTGCTGCTGTGCTGGGCTTTCACACAGCCCCAGTGGGCTGGGAAGAGTCCTGTCCTCATCAGCTGGCCCCGCAGGGCTCTTCCCAGCTGGCTTGGGTGCAGGGAGCGGGGAGCAGTCTAGCCCTGCAGCCACTGTGGCCCCAGTCCAGGCTGCCCCTCTACCCTGGGCCTCAGTAACAACCCGAGGCCAGCTGGGCTCAGCCCCACAGCTTCTGCTGCAGCCGCAGCCCCAGCCCTGGGCGGATATCAGGGCCATGCTGGTGACTCTGGCCAGGCCCCTGCCACACAAGCAGGAGAAGGCGGGAAGCTGGGCAGACCCTGACTGGAGTCCTGTGCCCTTGGGAGAGAGGGGGTCTAATCCCCACCTTCTGCCCCCCATTGCCTGAGGCACTGTGCTGCCAGTTTTTGGCCTCGGGGACAAGCCTGGCAAAGGCTGCTTCCCCCCTTCTCCTCCAGGCACAGCCTGGCTGAGGTTCCTACAGGCCAGGGTGGAGGTTTAAACCCTTCCACAATAATACTTAGCCCTTGCAGGGGCCTGGTCACACCCCCCAGGCGAGCTTTCCTCCAGTCTTGCAGCTGCTGCAAAGGGAAGGGAGGGCTGCTCTACCACCCTCAGCTTCTAGCCTGAGTCATTGTAGGTGTGTGCCTGCATTTCTAGAATTAAACATGAATATCTGTGCACTTGTAAATCAGTTCAATCTTTGCAGATTAGACTAACCTTTAAAGATTGAATCAGTTCAGGCTCTGGCTTTTTGAATGTCTGTTCCTAGCCTACAAAAAATGTTAATATTTCGGTATCTCTTGGCAGATCATGGATCTAACATGACATTCAACGTTCTACATATCAAAAGTACTGGTCCAGCAATTGAACCCTCTGTTGATCATTCATCAACACATATCAAATGGCACGTGAGTTCTCTGTCTCCAGTGGGACCAGTCATTCAAACACAAGAGCCAGTTTATTATCATGGAGCAGTAATTTTATACAAAGTTGTTGATAATCATCCATCCTTGTCATTTCGTGTGTACATAGCTACTAATAATGAGTCATTTATAAAGGTAAGTTCCACTTTTTAAAAACAGTAGCATAAGGCCCATATCAACATATGATCGTTAAAAGCATATTTTCATGTAGTTCAGGCCTACAATTTGGCATGTATCAAAGTTACTATATGACTAAGAAGTTGTAGCCAAAGAGAGACTGTTCTTTGATCAGGAGTTTTGCATTTAAGGCTTGAAAAGTCTCTGGAGCTTCCATGCACAGAGGGCCAGAATGATTCAGCTGCCTTTTTAGCTCATACTCTATCACTAATACCTTGCAGTGGAAAATGGTATTAGAAGCCATTTTGCCACCAGAGTGATTGGAATACAGGATTTATGCCCTCTCTTTTTGCATGACCTCTCTCCTGTTGTTTATGTTGACACATGTAGGCAGACCCTTGCATTCATTATTTCAAGCTGCAAGTGACAAGTAATATAATTGAATTGCTTCTTTTTGTGTTAGGCTTGAACTTTGACCCTCCCCACATCAGACAGGAAATTGCAGAATGATGTTTGAAGTTTGCAGAGAAACAAGCAGCTGGCAGGACTTTCCCTGCAACAGTCAGCTTTGTAATGCTATATGGTAGGGAGGTGCCAATAGCTCTTTGCTTTATTCAGTATTTGACCATGCAGCCCCACAGTAGTCTAAATATGAGTGAACACTCAGGCAATTAGTACCCAGTTCTACCCCTATTACGCAGGAAAAAAAGACTTTTCTTCTTCAATGAGTTGAAAGCACTTCAGAGGGCTGATTCCGACAGAATGTGCGGTGTAAAAATGGTTTGGGGGTGAGGGGTCCTTTGCTCAGGAATGCTTTTGGGGTGAGGGGTCCTTTACTGCTTTGCAGGAATGCAATGGAATATATATATTTTTTATAAAGTTTAAGTTGAGGAACGGTACTTGTCCATAAATAAATATCAGTAATGGGCAGAAATGAAAGTTGAAAACCACACTGAAAAAGCCTTATGGTCAGTCGGTATTTGCATAGTAGAAAGTTGTTTGCATACAAGAGCTGTCAGTTCTGCACAATGTGAAGACTCCATTAGTGTGTGATTGGACACACATGCTGGTTCAGCTGTGAACCAGAATATATCCCATGAACTATAAATACTTAAGTCAACCATTTGTGTTTCCAAGGAAAAACACCACAATCTGTTTATCAAACTGAAGACAGAGAAAACCACAAAGACTAGAGGCACAGTAGTAACTTGTTTATGATTTTTTAAAATCTGTTGACCAAGATAAGTAACAAGTAAACTGTGTTTTTAATTTTAGGACATCTCAAAAGCAATAAGACATTCTGATAAAAAATTCATTAAAATTGACAAGCCCCCTGTTTGTCAAAAATTACTACAAAATGGAAAGAGATATAGACTAATTAGTGAACCAGAAGCTGACATAATCCCTGAGGTATGTTCTTTTCAAATGTGTAATTGGATTGTCAATGTATGTGTCACAGCTTACTTGCAAACATTTTCTGAAAAATAGAGATTTTACCATTTGCACTCCTGCTAAGATCAGGGCAAATAGAAGCATAAAAGAGTTTTGACACATTCCTTTATTTTCATCATAGACAGTCTAAGCCTAACTGATCTTGGAAGTGCCTCAATTTAGGCATCAGCTCACTTAAAATTTAGGTGGCTGGCCTAGGAGGGTGTTCCAGGACAAACTGTTAAATGCATAAGTTTCCCCGTTCACTGTAGAGCCCAGGTGGCTCCCAAGTTCAGGAAAGCCTACAGCTACCACTAGGAGCTGCTAGTCATAGGGTTTTGTTTGAACCAGTGTTGCTGGATTTGAAAAATGGAAATAATCATATTGAACTTGAAAATTCACTTGTAAAATATTTAAGATTATGAATGTGTATGGGATTTACACGATCATATTGCTGCATATAGCAAATATTATTATTTTACTTACTGTCTCTACTTAGAAATCAGATTTCGCTTTGGAGTCACTGCCATCAGCTGTAATGGTCCTTTGGATGTAGATTGGCTGGGATTATTCTTTGAGGTTCTGAGGACCCAGCATCTGCACCACTATGTGTTTGCCTGTAGAAGCATAACCATGTGTGTAACATGCCTCTGAGCAGATCCATACTTGGGAGAGGTGGCACAAAGGCGATTTAAGTTTGTGTGTAGATGAAAAGTTGATCAACTATGAAAAATTTATTTCAGTATACAAGTACTGTTTAGATATTCTAGAATCAGTATACATTTTGACCACTTTTGCAATGATCTATTGTACACTGTACAAGGGTTGGATTTATTGTACAGATATGTATTATTGTACCTATGGAGACACCAGTCTGAACTCATACTCCTCAGAACTAAGACTTAGAGTTGCCAGGGAGGCATTTGTTTCATCTTGGGATCCTGAGAGGAGATTCCTACCTGAACGAGAATGCCTGACCGATGGCAGCATTGAGTTCAGAGTAAAGGACCGCACCCTACTTTCACACAAATGTGAGTGATAGTGATATTGTTCAGCTTTTGCCCAGTAGCCAACAGGCAAGAGCTCTTGACCAGGAATTGAGACGTGGATTCTAGGCCTGTCTTACCCTGAAAAGGTTCAAACCCATATCTCCTACTTCCAAGAAGAGTTTACTAGCCACTGGGCTAGATTGAGAGGGGCCAAGGGTGCTAGATGCATGGGGCTAGAAGGGCAGTAAACAAGAAGCAATGGACATGGGCAGCCTTCCGAGGAGAGCAGTCCTTTGGGAGGTTGGGTCCTGGACTCTGGCCTCTGCAGCCAGGACAATTTCTGCTTTTTACTCAATGACTGCATGAACAGTTGCGGCAGCAAGCAGCAGTTATTGAGGACATAGTCTTGGAAGGGACAGACCTTAGTATGAGTCCCTGCTGCTAGGCCTCAGCACTTTGCATTAGATGGTCTTTTTTTATAAGGTATTTTGATATGGAGTGTTTGTACAAAATTCACTAAGAGGTTTTTCTAAAGCTGAATTACATTTTTTTAGGAAATGCAATTTGTTGATGGCTCTCTCTTAAAATTAAAAAGTTATATTGAAGTCTATTTGGAGCAGCCTGTGGAATTTACATTATCTTTGGTTGAACTTGAGTCTGAAGTAATTGTATGGAAAGCGAAACTAAGAGAATGTAAGTATTATATGTTGCAGCTATGGTTTGTTTCTGCTGAAAACTTACATAATTTTTACCAAGTTCTGCCTCACATGTACTTCTGTTATTTTCACTCAAAGCTGCCATGCCTGGAGCTGAAAGTGTCAATACACCATAAAATAGACCATCATTGTTTCTCTGGATAGAAGAAGGAAAAAAATGGAATGCATATTACATAAAATGTACATTTGATATGTAATTCAAAATAATATCCCAGTATTTCTTAGCTTTTATTATTTTAGTTGAACCAAATGTTACAGCAGAAGTTCTAATATGATAGTGAAACAACATTAAAATGGGGGATATTTGTATGGAAAAACTTATTTTCAATTTGGTAAAATTAGTTACATTATAAAATAGAAGGCTTGATATTTTTTCTACAAGAGCAGTGCATGTGTGTATTTATCTAAATCATCAGTAGGTCCAGGGCAGTGAGTACTTTGGCTAGTGAGTGATACAAAATGGAAAAAAATGTATTTTGCTGAACAAATGTTTATTTATACTGCAGTCATAAATGTTACATACACTTCCAGACAATCAAAACTAACATGGGTAAATGGTTGCTTATGAACCAGTTGTTGATGGCCCAGGAGCTCCCTTTCATTCCCACATGCCTAAAAAATGCTCAACAATCCTTTAAACATAGATAATTGTGTAACAAAATCGTGCAACGTTGTGAATCTAGGTCCAGTGATAAGAAAAACAGTAAAGTTGGAGGTAGATAACAGATTTTCAAAAGCTAACAGTGCCTTTGGCAGACTCTACAAGTGGGCCTGAAATAGTCACAGCCTACGGGCACAGACCAAAGTCAAGGTGTACAGAGCTGTTGTTATTTCCACTCTACTGTACGGTGCTCAGAGATGTGGGGTGGAAAATTTTCCAGTGCTTTATTTTTCCATTGGAAATTTTCCATTTCTAAAAATTAATAGTTTCATAAAATTCATTAGTAATGATGAACAGATGCCAATACAATATTAGGCAATCTTGGAAGTTTCAAAGTTGTAATTAAGAGAGTGACAGAGTTCAAACTAATGTATTCAAGGGACTGGTCAAGCAGAATCACTGGCTTTGCTGTCAGGTGAATGGACTGATATACAAGGAATCCTTTATTGAACATTATGTTAGCAACACCTGAACCAATATTTCTGAAAACAACTGCTACCAAATCTTCTCGTCATACAGGTGAATACATAGCCAAATTATTGAGTGAAGAGATTGAAAGTGCACGTCCCTCCAGGGTACAAGCCCTTGTAACTAATAATGTGAGTAACATGAAAGCTGCATGGCAAATATTAAAGGCAGCGTATCCTCATTTACTAGTATTTGGCTGTCTTGCTCGTGGGTTGAATCTTCTGGCAAAGGACATAGTAAGTGTGAATATAATGAAGACAATATTGGCAAAGTGCAAGGCGATTGTGAAGGTATTCAACGATCATCACGTTGCTAATCAGACTTTGAAGAAATTACAGAAAGAGGCAGGGGAAGGAAAGTGCACTTTTATTGCCAGGAGAAACTAGATGGGGCTCAGCTACGAAGTGTTTACATAGCTTGCTGTGCACAAAGGACTGTTTGCAGTGTGCTTCAATAGATGACACAGTATTCCAGATTATTTCCATGCACTTTTGGAAGCCGATTCTCGACAACGATGTGTTCCAGGTACGAGTTCAAGGAGCATTCAGTTGGCTACTTCCAGTTTCACTGGCTTAAGAAACATGAGGGAGATACACCAAGCCTTTCAAATATTCCAGAGATATTCAGACAACTGAGCTTTTGCCGCCTTCACCTCTGTACAAAAAAGAAGCAGTAAAACAAATATTTACTAAGAGATTTGAGTTTTGCTCTCATCTAGTTCATCTGGCAGCAGACCTTTTGGATCCTCAGCACAGAGGACATGTATCAGAAGATGAATTATCTACTGTTCTTAATACAATTATGCAAGTAGCTAAGAATGTCCCCAATATCGACGAACTAGCTATGATGGCAGACGTTGCTAAGTACCGCGCAAAAGAAAAACTTTGGAGGAAAGACATCGTTTAGTGGGCAGCAGAGAATATGTCTCCTCTCACATGGGGGGAGGGATACTGTAACACCCGACTGTTGTCCAGGATTGCTGTAAGGATCCTAGGCATTCCACCAACAGCAGCTTCTTGTGAAGGGAACTGGAAGGCTTTTAGCTCAATCAAGACAAAGAAGAGGAATAGACTAACAAATGAATGCACCGCTAAGCTTGTTTCCATTTCTCAAAATCTCTTGCTTCTGGAGAATCAGTCAGAAGCACAATTACTGAAGAAGATGCAGTGTGATGATAAGTTGCTCTTGCCCATAGACTCTTTGGTAAAATCATCCTTTAGCAAAAGAGAATAAAGTTCTAGTAGTTCTGAATCAGATTTGCCTCAGTTGGATTCTGCAATGGGACTAATCAGTAGTGCAAGTGATTCTACAGATAGTGACAGTGAAACTGGAGGTGCTGCAGTGACCTCAGAGGAAGAGAGTTAAACTCTGTTGAAGTAGATGAGTGGACAACCGTGGCATATCATGCACAATTCTTTGGGTGTGCTAAAGTTCGTGTGTCAACAGTTTTCAGTGCCTTCATTTTTTTTCTTAAATTTAAGCAAACAATGTAAGGGAAGTACATGCTATTGTGTATTGTCTTTACATTTTTACAAGTATTCCAATAAAAATAATTCCTTTCCACATAAAGCTTTGAATTTAATACTTAAACCACATTAAGTGTTCTGTATTTAATTTTTTTCCTAATAAAATATTTCAGTTCAAATACTTGTGGCTATTCAGACTGTAACAGGGGGCTCTCGGGGCCGGTCTGCCATTGGCTCGCCTACCTGTTTCTGGGCCAACTGCCTGCCATGACTTGTTGTTTCTTAATTGGTTCTAATAAGGTGGGAGGCTGCCCATGGTTGTCCCGATGCCAGGGGGCGCTATCTGTGGCTCCGTTCCTCCCCTACACTGCAGCCCAAGCCTCACAGATGGCATCCAGGTGACATAATGCTCCTGGCCTATAGCTGGACCAAGCTCAGCCCTCATTGTCAGGCCTCAGACACACACACATTCATACCACCCTCCTCTCACTAGGGCCTCTCACACTCCACCCCATCTTGCAGGGTCTCTTTCACGCATCGACAATGTATACTGCCTTGCTCCCTCTCGGAGCAGGCCCCTTTGGCTATAGGCTTTACCTAGTGCATACTTTGGGTGGCAGATGTATCATCTTTTGGGCCTCTGTTTCAGCCCTTGCCTGGGTAGTGGCCAGCCAATTACCCGACCGGGTCCAAGCTTGCTCTGGCCCCTCCTAGGGCAACTCTATACACACTCACACACACACATACTGGGCTCCCAGCCCTCTGCTTTCCCCCTTACTGGGGCTCCTCATCTCCACCCTCTCACTGGGGCTTCCCTCCCCAGTGGGGGCTCAGGTGGCTGTAGCCATTTCTGGCCCCCTTGTAGCCACAGTATTGTGGGGGCTAGGGGTTAAGACACCCCAACCCACTTTTCACCTGGGCAGTAACTGGCCTGGCGTTTCCTGGGGGCTCCCGCACCACTGGGAGCCCCACCAGGCCACCCATTCCCAGTAGGGTGCAGTTTTAGGTCATGCCCAGGACCAGGAGCCTCCAAGCCATCCCCTTAAGCTCCTGCCCTTACTTCCAAGATATCTCATACAGCCTTTCGGCCAGGCAATGTTTCTGCCTGGCCTGCCAGCAGCGAGCTGCTCTGTTTATATAGGCGGCCAGAGATCTAAAATGGCCACCACAGTCACGCGCCCACTGGCTGTTTGGCTCAGCCCTTAATGTGGCAGGCACCAGCAGTGCCCTGCCACAGAGACATTAAATTAACCTGGGGTACTTTTTTAGTTTTGTTTACTAAATATAAGTCAAATAAACATGCTAAATCAGATCACGCTCTATTTAAGGCATTGGGAAATTTTCTGGAAAATTTTCCAATTCGAAATTTTCCAGAAAACCCACACCTCTGATGGTGCTGAGTCATGGGTCTTGTGTTGCCGCCACATACACCTTGAGCGCTTTCGTCAGTGCTGCTTCCACAGGATTTTCAAGATCTGCCGACATCAATGTGGAGGTGCTACAAAGAGCCAACACTACCGATATTGAGGTGATTGGATGGATGACAACTGCCGTTGATGTGCCAACTGACAAACTGATGTGCAGGGAACTGATGATGGGGAAACATGACAGAGGGGCCCCATGCAAGCGCTTCAGGGACACTCTGAAGACGTCCTTTTATGCCTGTGGGATTGACCACAAACTGTGGGGAACAGGCTGCAGATTATGATGCCTGGTGGCTCCAAATCAAAAAGGCAATACCGTTCTTTAAATGTCAGTGCAGAGCCAGCATCAAGGAGAAGAGGAGTAGGAGAAAAGGTACACCCTCATCTAGCAGCAATCAGCCATACATGTGTAAGCATTGCAGCAGGATTTGCCTCTTTGCAATTGTACTGATTAGTCAGCAGTAAGCCTACAAATGGTGTGGGCAGTTACCTTCCTAACATCCTCATTTGTGAAGAACTGCCAAGAAGAAAGTTGTGTTTTGTCATTTTTTTCCAGAAAGGTTTCTTTCTTGTTCATATGGAACTAGCTAAGTCTTTTAACAAGTTGCTACAAAAATTGACAGTGGTATGCATCAACTTTGGTAATGAAATGAATATAGGATAGAGCAGGTATTAGAATGTATTGGGTACTAAGTTTAAAAGAAGATTTAGGTGTCTGTCACCAAATGTTCTGTACTTGCCACACATTACATTAAAATAATACTGTAAGGAAACCTTATTCACAGATTATATTTGTTTCTGATGGCCAGATTTAGCCAAAGACTGGATACAAAGCCTAGTAAAATCTGTAGTAGTCTTTCCATTGACTTCCATGATCAAGTCAGCAAACACTGTAAAAAATGAAGGAATTCCACATTGCAGAGTATATGCTATGATAATTTATCTTGTTTTGGTTCTAATTATTAAGGATAATACATCATGAACATGCTGTATTTGCTGAGTAGTGGGAAGAGGGTAATGTGAGAAAGATTAATTGTATGTGTAGATTAGCAGTGAGAATTACTTTAATTTTCTCTGGAAAACATTTATGTTTTAACAGGTGACTGGATAAAACACAACCAGAACAACAATGAGCAGAAAAGAAAGCCAATCTGTAAGTAATTTCAAAGAAAAGTGTTTACAGCATATCTATTTTTATATTATTCAAATATGTTCCTATAGTACAGGAGAAGAATTAAAATCAGTTATCATATACTCCTTAGGTAGAAGACGGAGATCAAGTATCAGTTTGTCTGATGAAGAGTTGTGTAATAAAAGGCTAAAGGGCATTCCAGGTACAATTTTTATAAGGTTTAAATAGTTGTTTATGGTAATTTTTAAATCCTATTTAATCAACTTTTGAAATGACGTATCAATTTGACCATAGAATTTCTGGGGACAGATTGCTGCATTTTTTTGTACGGAACTCACCAAGCTACCTAATTTATATGCGTAACCACTTGCTTGTATATTTGTGCAGATGCATCTGCAAAGAAAGTGAATAAATTTAGAAAAAGAACTTGAAAATGCAGATCATAATTTTTAGCTAAACTGGTCACATCTAGACATAATCAATACAGAATATCTGATTCTGAAAATGTTTTGCTGTGGGGTTAATGGCATTTTTTTTAGACGATCTCCCCAGTTATAATAGGAGCTGGAATTTCCAAAAGTTTAAATCCTAGATGGGCCTCAAATATGACTGATTAGTGGCTCTAAAGGCTGTGACCCAACATTCCTAAAAGACATCTCCTCCCTTACTTTCTATCCTGATTCCTAAGGTAAGCAGAGAGAAACCTCTTGCAAATACTGTCTGTTGAGTTGCAAGTTTGTTCAGCAAAAAAGCGTGGGAGGTTGCCCTTGGTAGTCACTCCTTAGCTTTGCAACTCTCTTCTCTTGAGGCCAGTTGCAGCCTGAGCTTGGACATCTTCTGAAAGTGATGTAAGACTTTTTATTTGGGCAGGCTTTTAATGAGAGGGTTATGTTCTGGGACGTTGTTTGGGGAATCTGTTTTATTATTTACTATTTTAGTTTAATATTTTATCTAATTTTATGACTTGTCTGGTTTTAATTTTAAGCTGCTCTGAGCGGTTTGGGAGGGAGAAGGCAGCATGTACATCTAATAAACAAATGAATACATTTTCAAACATGCCCATTGCCCTGCAACTGCCATTGAGAAGTCAGAAGGACTCAAGTATAATACTTACATGCTTTGCTGAGCCAGGGCTGCAATTTAAGAGGCCTCAATATTTAATATACATAGTACATCTAATATTGCACTTCAGGGGAAGCTCCTGATACAGAGATTCCTAAATGTCTCTTAACTATGATTTCCTTCCAAAGACATTATCAAAATTTCTACCTTACTGACTTTCCTACTAGTTGCCCTGAAAAATTATAGACAAGATAGGGTTTAGAACAAAAAATCATATAGGATCACAATAGATATTTTCATGGTTGAAACTTTGGTTCCAAGTTAAAAACTTTTCATATAAAAGTTTCAACTCATGCCTGTACATGTAGGCTGCTTGCAGATGTTTAAAAAAAACCCCAAAAGAATTTGCTTTACCAGAAGAAGCAGCATGTTACTTCAGCCCAGCTCCACAGTGTCTGTATAGATTGGGTGTTTCAGTGAGGCTTTTTGGTGCTTTTTAGCTAAAGCTGATTCAATCAGCTATTAGATAAAAGCACCAAAAAAGCCCCACTAAAGCACCCGATCTGTACAGACATAAGGTGAACCAGGCCCAGCTAACCTATTGCCTCTTCTTGGCATGCGTAGGGCTTGGCACGGGAGGGTGCCAAGTTTAAAGCGCCAGGGTTTTTTTTCAATGTCTGCAAGCAGCCTAGGTTTTCACCTCTCTTTAAAATGCTTGAATTCTGTCCATTGAAAGGATGCTTCTTTTGTGCCCACCAATTATTTACATGGCTTTTTGAGTTAAGAAATTTTTTTTTAAAAGCTTCAATAAAATTATATTTAGGAAGTGCTTCAGGCTTATAATGCAGAAAGAACCAAGTTTTACCTTCATGTCAGGAAAAAAAGCTGCAATTATGTCTGTGGCTGCCTATAGCCACTAGAGGGAGCCATTTAATTGATTTTGGCTTATTTCTATGTAAGAGGATCATATTTAAAAGGGAAATATGATTAGTTTATTGAGGTTCTTATTCAGGTTCTAGTTCAAGATAGCTCTTTTTGTACAGGTTATGTCTTCTTAACTGAGTAAAAAAAACCAAACCAACCAAACAGTAGCATATTCTAAAAAAGACAGTTTTGCTAGGGACCTGATATTTTTTTAGGTGACTGACAGAGGAAAGCGGGAGGCAGTTTAATGCGTGTACAGTTCTGCATAACAGCATATGTAGATGGTTTATATTCAAGGAGGTTTTTTTTCTGTTAGGCAAGTGGCTGTTTACAATGAGAAAAGCTTTTTGTGGGCTTAGGCATGAAATTTTAAAAAATTTTGCTAAGCTAAAGGGTCTTGCACTAGCTTCCCACATCTCTTGGCTCTTACCTTGCATCTGTTTTTGCTCCTTCACTGCAGTTTTCATTAATCAGCATGATAGCAGCACCAGTATATGAAGTGATGATGCAGTTTCAACTAACTTGTTAATATAATCACTTCCATTGTATGTCTCTTCTTAAAGTACACTGAAATAATAGAATCATTTGATTATAAATCCTATGAAAAAGTAATAGGAAAGCTGATTTGTTTTATATGTTTTTAGATGAAACTAAAGCTAAAAGTACATTAACTGATCAGCAGCTGATGACGATTGCAAAGAAGATGGGTAAAGACTGGAAAGAAATTGCCATTGGATGCCTTAATTTAGAAATGAAAGATATTGATCAGATTCAGGAAAAGGAGGAAGAAGTTAACATTTATAAATTCAGGATGCTGAACAAATGGAGGGAAATTGAACAGAATAATGGAACTGCACAAAATTTGTATGACAGTCTCAGGGATCATGTGTCATATGAAGTACAACAAGTACTAAAAGGTACACATCAGGTTCTCTTTATGCTTCATTATGTAATTATGTTTCAGACACTCTCATGGATTCAGTATCAGAGAATTCCTTAAACAAACACCAGGTGAATTTACACTATATAAGTTAGAACAGTCTTTTCTCTAAATTAATAATAAGCATTTTTCATTGTACTTTATAATCGTGATTCTTCATACTTGCTTTTCTAAAGCTGATATAAAGAAATATATAAACACCAGTATTTGTTAGGGACTAATACTTAAAATATTGGTACAGTTTCCCGTCTGTCCAAAGTAACCAAGACTGTTATACTCAAGCATATTCTTGTTTCTTATTATGGTGCTCAGTACAAAAATGTCTGTACATTTGTTCCAGTATATTTTAGTAATGTTAAAGGTATATCCTTATTCTAGAAAATTAAGGTCTTGATAACGTGAGCCGGATAACATATATTTGGTCAGGTGCAGACATTACACTTTTATCAGTATAAGTGATCAGAAACTGGTCTATACTCAATTAACGGAACAGAAGTTTGGTGCACAGACTGGTTTAAAAATGGCAGAACCTGGTCTAAGATTCCTGCCCCCTGCCCAAAGGGCAAATGTGTGTTCTGTTTGCTACTCATTTATACTATGCCACTTATAAAAAACCCCACATAACTTAGATCAATTCCACCTTGAGCTTTTTGAATGTCTGTAGCCAGCCTTCCTGTATAGATGTAACCTTTTTATTTCAGTGGAACTACTCATAACTGTAGAAATCAGTAACAAGTGTTTAGAGGACTGGGACTGTCCTCCAAACTGTTTCAGGAAAATACTGTCTGAAGAGGAAACATTAACATTCTGAGAATACTTACTAGGCCTTTCTTCTCTTTAACTTTACAAAACTAGTTGGCATCCAAACTGAGAGCATTTGCTAATGTCCTCATTGAATATTTGTTTTAGATAAATGCATATTTTTGATACATCATTTTATTGTTTTGTAAAAAATACATATATTAAATTATTTAACATGTTTGCAGTGGCATTTAAAGGTCAAACAATACATATAATGTATTCATTTCCTCAGGTTTTTTAGAGCACGTATGAGTTCATGGCGAAACAGCAAAAAGGGAACTCAGCACCATTCATCTGAATACTGGTTAACCTTTTTAGACTGTTTAAAAGGGATTTTATTGTGGACAATACAGTTTGGAGTTCAGGAGGTCACTTATGAAGATACAGGCCATAAGCAATCTGTGGAAAAATTTTAACAAAATACAATTTTGGGAAAGAACTGTGAGTGGAATTTGTATTAATGTAATGAATGTAACATATTCAGGAAGAATCTTCTGTGTGATTGATACCAGTTATATTAACAGTCTATAGTGAAGACTTGCAGTAGCAATTGTAATGTAGTTGAAACTTGAAACGTCCATGAACTTCATGCTGTCGTTGACCTAGCATTTCAAAGTGCGGAGCACTACTCAGGAATTTGAAGTAATCTTAACTCCCATGAAACACTGCTCGCCCTTTCTACCAATTTGGCTATCTTCAAATATTTTTATCCTATTCCATGGGGTTTAATCCATAACTATTAGAAAGATCTTGGAGACCTGGTTACAGTTATACCACCACATAAAATAATTCTGTTAATTGTAAATAATTCTGGGAACAAAATATTTCTCTGTATAAAAAATTTAATAAAAATAAAATGCTGGTTCTCCAGTGGGAGACAGCAGTCCTTACTGCTGGGAGGGGAAGGTACTGGCTGGTGGAGCAGCACGAAGAGCAGCAGACAAGATGGTGGCTCTCCGCACATCCTTCCTCCCCCTACTGAGGCCTCTCTACCAATCAATGCCAAGGGGTGGGGCCTCTGTGAAATACCTGTGAAATCGGCTCTGTGCACTACAAGCAGGCCATGAAAAACCCTTTGTCTCACTGTGATTTAGGTAGGTCCCTACTTATAATGGCAGGATTGATTTTCCTGTCCATGTGCATGGCACATCAACTCTACAAGTAAACTTATGTCCATGATTGTGATGTATGTGCACCACTCTCTTAGGATGGGATTATGTTTATTCAAAAAAGGTAGATTAGTTTCAGAGTAGCACAAAGTAGCACAAAAGGCAGCTTTGATTTTTGTCTGTGAATGTCATGTTGGCTTCATGTGTCTATAACTGATTGCATGTTTCTAATTAGATGATTTTCTGTGTTGTACACTTTCTGTTGTATTATACTTAGTTTAGAATTAAATACAGATTTTTATACTGTTTTTAACCTGAATTGAACTTTATGATGACAAAGGCACAAGCTAAAAATAGAAAAGTTAGTGATGTCTCAGAAAAGCAGGTGCCTATCACTGACTGCAGATAGAAAACACATTTTTAAGGTTTTTAAAGGTTTTAAAATACTGTTTTGTATTAAACAGAACTAGTACCTTTGTTCATGAGTGTCTAGTGAACATGCTAAGGATGTCTCTCTTTTACTTTAAATGTTTACTAAAAAAATGTCTTTTTTAAACAAGAATTAAAATTTGGAAATGCTTAAACTTGTTTGTTTGATTTTTTGAAGTATTAATATTGTATTCCTCAATCCAAATATTTACTTAAAAGATATCATATACTATTCTTTTTATCATTGTTTTTGTAGCCCTCTACTGGTTGAAGGTTAGATGTATATTAGGGTAGTATATTAGGCTTTTTCTAGTTAGGAGTCTTTGTAATCTTAAAACTTCAGTTCTCAAACTTTTGAAAAAGTTATGTATCTCTGTGTCTACCTAATATCAGTCCTTCTAACAATGGATCACTCTCACCGCTTTTTTTGTGTTAACTATATTATATTATTCAATGCCTTGGCTCAGTCTCTTCAGAACATTCTGTAAAGTCCTGTAGATAGCCTCCTGGGATTCCAGACATAACTGTGAAATAACTGATGATGTGGCACCTGCCCAAAATATTTACTTACCCAAGTAAATAATAGAACAGTAGGAATCTAATCAGGAGACTGAATAGTCATATACTGTATTTCCCTAATCCAAGACAATTTCAAATTTAAGATGACTCCCCCACTAATTAGATTCTAGGCATGGAAAATTATAAATCTGTTATAACTTTCCTGTATAGACTCCAATTATTGGAGGATCTTATTAAATTCACCCCCCACATTTTTGCAGCAAGGGGGCTAGCAGTGGAAAAAGCAGCAGCAGGTGTGTAAGCAGCCTGACCCCCGCCTCTTGCCCCCTGTCACTTGCCTGCCCTTGGTGCTCCCCCTGCCCGGCCCCTGCTGCCTGTCTGCCCAGTCACTTGTGTCCCTAGCTACTGCTTACCTTATGCAGTGGCTCTGACTCCAACCTGGGCCATGGACTACCTGGTGGCTTCAGCACTGGGTAGGCAGTGGTGGCAGCTGCAGCCCTGACCCCAGGGTTGGAGCTGGAGCAGGAGCTGAAGCCAGAGCAGCTCCTCCACCACCACATGGTCTCCCCTGTGCTTCCCCCAGGCTGCACACTATGCTATTTTCCCTGTGATCCTTTCCCTGCACCACACAATCTCACCTGCCTTTCTGTGCCCCTCTTCTTCCCTGCCCTTCCCAGACGGGTACATGAATCCAAGACAAGGCCCCCAACCCCCCATGTCCAATAGGGAAAAAAAACTTGTCTTGGGTTTGAGTTAACATGGTAGTACAGATAGATTTTAGGGGCACACATTTTATTGATTCTATCTGCAGGTGGGAACGAGAAAACAAGCCATGTTCTACATGAATGGAGTGCAGCAACCATGGCAGTGCTCCGTCCCCTCAATTTGCTACAGGTCTAAGAATCCACTTTTTGGGAGGAGGTAGATTGTGACTACTAGAGCAGCTCTGGGCTGGCTGGGACATTAGAGGTATTTTTCTTCTCCCTCCCTGATATCTGTGCTGAGTGGTGCTGAGGGCAAGAAAGTAATAACAACAGTATTATGTTTCTATGGCTCCTGTTCTAAGAGGGAGTTCCCCTCCATGGGGAACCCCAGGGATTTTGTCAGTTGAAGAAGGATCTTCAGTGCCAGGACCCAGAATGGTATATGCCATTCTCTGGTAGTTTTCTTAGTATCTGTTTAGAAATGTAAAAGCCCATACGGCAGTGGTTGCCAACCTTAGGGTCGGGACCTTATTTTGGATTGCAACAATAAAAAATGGGGTCATGCACTCCCAGGGAGGGAGGCATGGGGGGGCATGTGCCTTCAAGACTTGTGCATGGGGTGGGGATGGATGCAGGCTGTGGGGTTGAGTCTCCTCACCCTCCTGCCCTCTGCCCCAAGGTCTCCGTGGCCCAGCAGGTAGGACACGGCACAGGAGGTTCGAGAGGCTCCGTGCCACTGCTGGGAACACCATACCAGCTGCACTGCTATGGCGAGGTGCCCCTGCCTGCCTGGCAGCAACAGGGGACACAACTATCTTCAGTAGCTTTTAGTGTGGGTACAGGGCTCTGCCTGAGTATATCTTGTTGGAGGATTTGGGCCTAAACTATGAGAAATAAAAAATAAAGGTATCCTCTTTCCTGATAGTCACCTGAGGGACATAAGGGCAGAAACTAAGGTCCAACTAGGAAGTATTGGAGGGGAAAAAAATCTGTTTCAAGAGTGTTTTAAGATATAGTCAAATTTTTCCCAGTTGCTAATTAAATAGTAATACCTTGATTAATGAATCCTCTGAGAACAAAGCTCCTTTATAACAAAGTCAGTCTTTTTTTGCAAAAAAATTGGAATTTTTTTTGAGGCAAACACAGATATCTCGTTTTACCAGAAACCCATGGATTTTGCAATTTTGCAATGAGCCCCTGCAGGCTGGCAGAGTTCCAGCCTGCAGGGAGCTGGGAGGGAGTGGGAAGAAGGCAGTGAGACAGAGCACCATGTGCTTGGATAGGCATGTGGCCCCAAGCTGCCTGTAGAGCAGCTCCAGCAGGTATGTGGGGGAGAGACGGGGATTGAGGGCCCTGTAGGAAGGGACCTGGGTAGGGCTGGGCCTGCTGCTCAGCTGGGTGGGGCTTGGGGCCTGGGGCTGCAATGCGTGGCTGCAGGGCCCCACTGGGGATCAGGGCTGGGCCATGGGTGGCTCATCCAGGGGAGGGGGAGGGCCGGTTCACTGCTGCCATGAGTACTCTCAGGAGAAAAGGGAGACCTCTGCTCCCCCCAGATCTGTATGTGGGGCAGGCAGAGGCTGCATGCTTGGGCTTTCACCCTGCTTCCCTCCCCCGGGACCTCCACAGCCCAGCGGGTATGACCCAGCACAGCAGGGAGCACTGGAGCTGCACAGGGATCTTGCTGCTACGAGCTCCACGCTGCCCTGGCAATGCGCCCCCCCCATGTGCCACTGCTTTGAGGGGCACAACCCTGTGCTGCTGCTCTCATGGCAGCCTCACGCACAGGGGGCATGTTGCCAGGGCGGCGTGGAGCTCGCAGTGGCAAGGAAATCCCTGCACAGCCTCACTCCTCCCTGCTGTGCCAGGTCATGCCTGCCAGGCTGCGGAGGCCCCAGGGGAGGGAAGCAGGGCAGGAGCCTGAGCCCAGAGCCTGAGCCTGCCTCGAGTACAAATCTGGAGGGCACAAGTCCTCCCTGCCCACTGGGAGTGTGTGTGGTGGCGGGGAGCCACCCCACCTGAACCCACAGAGCAAGTGGGGGCAAGGGGCTGCAGACCTGGGTCCAGAGCCCTGGCAGCTGGGCATATTTGTGAGTATTTAATGATATTTTCCTACTGTACTCCCCTTCTCTGAAGTCCTAGAACGCATCCCTATGCCTCCTATGTTATTTCTACCTCTGGTAACGAAGTGACAACATGGAATGCTTCTACTTTGGTAACCGAGGTATTACTGAATTTATTTTGAATGTCCAAATCTTTTCTAATGTTACAATACTGGAATATTTGGGCTAGTTTAGAAAGCACTGGCACAATGCTAATATGAAGATAAGAAAAGAGACCACCTCTTTTTTTTTCAGTTTTAAAAATATCATTAAGTAAGGAATGTTACATTGAGTGTTCTAAGGTTTTCTAACAGACTGGATGAATTTCCTCTATAATCACAAAATAATGATATAAAAAGTGGGCAATGGGTATTGAATTTCAGGTATAATTTCAGGTTATAAGAAGGTTTCCAATTATTATCTTAACTATCAAGCTGTCAGGGAAAGTGTAATGATATACAATATGAACTTTCTCCCATTTTAAACTAAATCATATTGTGATCTTCATATGAACAATTTACAGTGGTACCGACAGTAAATCCTGTAGCCAACACCGCTTCAGGAATTGTAGTAGTGGCAGCACTGAGTCATTAGTATAATTATACTGAGGGATTTCTCTCATGCTATGCTGGGAAGCTAAGGTTTGTTCCTGAGTCATGAAAGTTAGTGGAGGCGTTTTCTAGGGGGGTGAAAAAAATTAATTCCTCTCTGTATATAGTATTAGAGGATCTCCTTAGAGGATTAAAAGAAAGCTGCTGCTTTTCTCTATATTTAGAATTAAGAATATGTTAAGCTATATCCCACCTGATGTTATTAGCTTCTAAAAGGGTGGAGAATTATTTGGGCCTGGGGGCCATATAGGGAGCTTTGATGAGTTGTTTTGGGCTGGGTCAGCACTCCCCCCTTCTTCCCTACTGCAACAACTCACCAAAACTCCCTGTGTGGGATGGGACCACGAGCAGGGATGAGGCAGCAATGTTCAGAAGTGAGGTGAGTGGGTGAGGCTGGACTCACGAGGTGGGATTATGGGGTGGCCCCTTCCCTGTGCCGGGGGTGTGTGTGTATGCATATGTGGGGGGGGGGGCAGGGCTGCCTAGGTGGTGGGTCCTGGGAGCTGGCTGGGGGTGAGGTAAGGGAGGAGGGTGCAGGGGACACATGCAGTAGAGCTTGCCCAGGCAGTGTGGTCTGCAGCGCTCTGCATGGTGCCAAGCCAGGGAAGGCTGTGCTGCACTCCAGCCCATGCCCACCAACCCAGCCTGCACCCACCAACCCAGCACGCACAGCTTACCAGCAGTGCTGCTTCCAATGGGGCTGCTGCTCAGCTCCCCTTGACTCTAACAGTGGCTCCTTGTGCTGCACTGCTCTAGGCTGCACTGCACTGCTTCAGCTGGGTGGCTCCTGCCCCAAGCCACGAGGCTCTGGTTCCAGCTCCGGGCTGCCTTCCACCCACTCTAGTCCCCCGGCCCAGACGGCAGAGTGGGTGGGAGGCAGCTGGGAGCTTCAGTCTTGTGGCTCCTACTTTTCTGATATGCTCAATAGTAACTCCTGAGTATTTAATAGCTCAGTCCTCTGTACAGTCCTTCAGCCCTGAGCATGCCATAACCTTGAAGCTGGAGGCACTCAGCAAAAATTTCTGCAGTTCCCTGAGTTGAGATCAAGAAAGACTGTGCTGCTTGTACTGTCAATTCTTTGTTCCAACTTGTCTTCAGACAGTGAGGAGTTGGAATCAGTCTAGTATTAGCTTTTTTAGAGAGGCTCCTTTTACATTTTATAGGTATTGCACAATTAACGGGTTAATTGTGTAATTACCTTAAGACCAGCTACAAA